TTTACCAAAAATATATAGTTAGAATATGGCGTACTTAAATCCAAAAAACAATTATTTATTATGTCGGTTTTGATAAAGTTTCTGATGGATACCTAAACTTATCTACGTTCACAACATAAAGTACTGGATTATACAATTAAAGCTGTATTATAAATTAACTTCAGTAATTCTACTACTTTGTATGGTATATCTTTCGTAAATGCCATTTTATCAAATACGAGCACTTAATACCGTGTTACAAGTTTTTTCTCTCGCTTGTTTTGGTACTAATTAGCAACTAGGCTAAATGAAGGAACTGTAACATTTGCGATTATGATGTAATGTCATTTATTTCTTAAGATTAACAATAATGAATCACAGGCACTAATACTGGAATAGGTAATACGCTGAAATTAAATGATGTTATTTATCTTAAGTAGGATATAGTCATTAAGAAAACGATTTCATTAAAGCACTAATAGCAACGAAATTATCGTTGGAAATATATTCGCGTCTCAAGCTAAATATATCATTGTATTTAAGTTTGCTGCGAAAGGAAATGGTAGATTTGTACTAAACTAGTTAAAAATAAAAAAAATAAACATGATTTAGTGAAGATATAAATGCTTGTCAATACTAATCATTTTTTTATTTTATTTTGTATCTGCTTGGAATTTAAAGTGATATTTAAAATAAGTGAAATGTTTCACATAACTTATTGATAACTTTTTATCTTTAGGGCTACAATATTAAAAGTATATTAGACTTTTTACTCCATTACGATTTTAAAACTCATTTCTTTATATTTATATACTGGACTGTCCAGTAACTAGTAACTAATTAAAATAGATCATTAAGGATTTGATTTTAAATAATTTAAATAAGATCGTCATCAAAGTTGCGAATTTTTAGAAGATCGCTACTTAGGTTTTTTTGGTGATGTTAATTATTGTAGTTAAAAGTGTTTGGGCGCTTAGAATTTAATATTACCTTTTTTTGTTTATCACAGTATGTGAATAATGTTGACAGATATAATTTTACATAAGTTGTCAATAAAAGTCAAAAAAGAAAAATTTAATTTTTTCCCAATAATAAGTGTTTATCAAAACATTTTGATGACGGGTCTCCGATACACCCCTGTTGCTGTCTTTACCTCGATTACTCTAACGTTTCCGTCTCGATCTGGATATGTTTTTATTATCTTTCCTCTTGGCCATGAATTTCTGGGAAAGTTTTCGTCAGCCAATATATCCACATCTCCTTCTGAAACCTTACTGGTTGCATTTTCCCATTTACTCCTTTTTATGAGAGTTGACACGTATGCTTTAAGCCATCTCTTCCAAAATTGAACGGCAAACCTTTGAGCAATACGATACTTAGGTAAAGATCTGTGTCGCAGAAAGTTCCTGGAAGACTGACTTTGTGGGATCTACCAATGAGAAAATGGTTTAGTGTTAGGGCTTCGTAGTCATTGTGGTCTGATAAAATATATATAAGTGGATGGCTATTTACGGTATGCTCTACTTCCACAAGTATCATCTCTAGGATATTGTTTAGGTTGAAAATGAGTGGGATGATCTCATCGCCCTCCACCGCGACCCAGATGGGTCTATTGTGGCTCATAACTAACTTATAGTTCACCGTAAAAGCCACACCTTTTGATGAAGGATATTGTTTAGTCAAAATTGTTTTGAGGGCATCTTTTACAGATCTTATCATATGGCTAACTGCTGGGGTATTTCGGAATAGTTTATATGCCTATTACAACAAACATTTTGAACCTGATTCAAATTTACTTTATCTTGAAAAGCATTTTTCATTTGTTTGTCGGCTCCACAAAGATTAGTCCCATTGTCTTAGTACATATCAGAAAAGCTGTCTCTTCGGCAAATGAACCTCCGAATTGCCATTATTGCCGAGCCGGTTGTAATAAAGAAAGCGAGCTCCAAATGGATTGCTCTGGTAGACATACACGTAAAAATAACACCATATCGTTTTTTCCTCCTTCTACCAATGGGTACGAATATAGGTCTAAAATAATCCATTCCAGTTATTATGAATGCTCTAACTTGAAGAGTTATACGAAAATTAGGTCTTGGTCCTATTTGTTGTTACTCAGTCTTACGATTTCTTCTCCTGCATATCATACAGGATGTTTAACATTTTCTGATGACAGCTCTTCCCTTGATAATCAAAAATTTTTCTCGAAGATGGTTTAAGATCTGTTCCCTTCCTTGATGGTTGTCTAGGATTATTGACTGTTTTACAGGCATTTTTAGATGGTAAGCGTAATTCAGTCGGCCACTTAATCTTGGTATACCGTGTTCGTCAAGTATAGGGTTTAATTTAAAAATACGGCTTGATTTCTTGAGTGTTTTGCTCGCCAAAACTTTCTTCCTGTGCTTGTAAAAAGTTCTAACTCGGCGGATTCAAATTCTTTTACCGTCATCTCTCTAGAAAGACTCTCAGTATTATTTAATAGTTGCAGTCGATTCTTGCAGATGTGAATAAACTTCAAGACCCAGACAGCGGATTTCACAAAGCGTAAATAACTAAAAAAATCAAAAATTTTTGTATCCTTAGTTAGCACAAAAAGAACAGTTTTCTTTTTCTTCTGGACATCAGTATTTATTTAATTTTTTATTTCATCTTTAGGCCAGTGATTCTTTTCCAAAGCTAGAAATTCAGGCCCACGAAGCCAAATTTCGAAATTGTTAATATCCCATAATCCTCTAGTTACAACCTCGGCTCTATTTAATTATGTAGGAAGCTAGCGCCAATCTTCGGGTTTAGTCCAAAATTTCCCTAATTCTGTTTTATAATTTCTCGAATTTGACTGTATCCAACTTAGTACAATATTTGAATCAGACCAAAAATACATTCTGCTACTTTTAAATCTATGTGCAGATTTGATGATTTTTGCTAATATTGACCCAAGAAGTGCTGATTGAAGCTTGATTTTTGGGATAGTCATATTCTAAGGCTGCTTACTTTAGATATAGCCATTACAAAACATGTGAAAATTCTAGCATCTGAAGCTACTATACGAAAGCATGAAACAGAAGCGTCCCCTTTCTTACTTCCGTCATTAAAGCCGGAGATACACATGCAAGGAAATTGTGCTAGTAGCTTGCAGACAGAGGATACATTAATAAGTAAAATTGCATATCAGTAGCTTGAATGTGCCAGTAGCTTGAAGACGGAGGATACATTTACCAATAGCTTACAAGCCTTCTGGATCGCGGAGATTTCGAATAGGTCAATACAACGTTTCACGCTAACCTGTCCCAGAATTTTAAAGTGTTTTTAGTTTTTACATTTTCACAAATGGTCTTTCACATAGAAAAGGTTCGAAGCAAATTAAATAGTGTAATATTGTCACTTGGAATATAATGTGTACGTCAAATAATACAACCTAAACGGAGCAGAAGAAGGAGAACACGTATTTGGGTGAATACATTTTATGGTCTTTTCATCTCCCCACCGAGACTTGATGATACGGTTTCAACAAAACGAAAAAAGAAAAAACTTGACGGCGATCCCAACTTGCATGCAACTATTGACATGCTAGTATAGCCGGAGATACACATGCAATCAAATTGTACTAGTAGCTTGCATGCCAGTAGCTTGCATGTGCCAGTAGCTTGCAGACCGAGGATACATTTTCAAGTAAAATTGCATGTCAGTAGCTTATATGTACCTATAGCTTAAAGATGGAGGATACATTTGCCAGTAGTTTACAAGCCTTCGGGATCGCGGAGATTTCGAATAGGTTAATACAACGTTTCACGCTAACCTGTCCCCGAATTTTAAAGTGGCATTTTCCTGTGCTATTTTATTTTTATACAGAGATGAATTCGAATTCCACAAAGATTCGTACTCTCTATATAAACGAATAAATTTTATGGTCTTTTCATCTCCCCACCGATACATGATGATACGCTATCAGCAAAACGAAAAAAAGAAAAAACTTGACGGCGATCACATCTTGCATGCAACTATTGACATGCTAGTACCTGTCGTCTGTGTTCACACATTCAATTTGGCATGCAGTTCGTACCCCCCACCATCCAAATTGGACATTGCATGCCAAAAAATCAAATCTTGTTTAATCTACTTGTATACAAGCTACTTGTATGCAAGTTAACAGATACACATGCAAGTAGCTTGAACATTCAATTAGCTAGCATGCAAGTGTGCAAGCTAAAAAGTGTGTAACTAGATATCGCTTACAGTAGGGCTACTTACACTATACAACCAAAGAACTTTTAAATGTGTAACTGCGTGAAGCGCCATTACCCAGAACTTTCATTTTTCATATAACTGAAGACTACGTTTTTGACCTCAGTAAACTTCTTGCATCAATATTCTAGCTTGAATTGTAAAGGCAACGAGAAAACTAAGTGGGTCATAGACGGACATTACGACCCTTACGACTTGTCTTTTCGAAGGTATATTGTATATAGTAAATAGTAGAATTTTTCAATTGCTTCTGCCGCTTGAAGATATTCTTTGGCATATTTTTTGGTATTTTTGTTAATAACGTAAATTGCGCAGCTTGGAGAACAAATTGCACCAAAAATCATAACTTGCATTTGGTAAGTAAGCACAGGAACTTTTCCATCTCTCCGTCTCCACAGAAACTGTTGAGCAAATTGATCTTCTGGTATTATTTGTACTTGGATAAACATTTCATCGATATCTTACAACACAACTACTGGATTGTATTAAAGAATTTAACAAATCAGGACCTCGAAACAAATTTTATCATTTATCATAGTCTGTGAATAATAGTGTCAAATATAATTTTATATAAATTGTCAATAAAAATCAAAAAAGAAAATAGTTAATTTTTTTCCAATAATAAGTGTTTATCAAAACATTAATATAATATTGCAAAGTGGAAAGGTTTACTATAACAGTAAAATAATACTACTTTTACTATATATTATAATAATTTAAAAAAAAAAAACGTAATTTCTTATCAGATTTAGAATTAGACATTGTTGTTTATATTTCAGATTCAATCGTACGCCTTTAGCCAATGAAAACGTCTATTTAACAATATTTATAGAAGCCTTCCTGCTTGAGACTTCTATAATCCTCTCTAAAGCCCTCGGTCATGCCGTTAATTTGAAAAGGAACCTTTCAAATAAGTCAGCTATTAATCATTACAAGCACATGTATGTTCCAATAGTCTTTGAAAAGATAATTAATCACTTATAATTCTATCTTCGTCATATTTTAATTAGAAAAGTAGGCATACGCGATGATCTAGCTATAAAAAACTTATTTTTAATCAATTTCTTTTTGATTTGATGTATTTCTTTATTATTGGTCTCATAAAAGAGATGAATAGTCAATAAAAATCCGGTACGAAGACGAAGAAGATAGCAAGTCATATGTTAAAATGTTCATAATATGAATAGCTTTTGAGATGAAAGGCAATTATTTAAATACAAATTATTTTACATCGACACTTTTGTATTAATAAGCATTAATAAATATCAGTTTTATAGTACTTATGGAATAGTAATTATTAATTTTTTGCAGATTTTTAGATTTATGTTTGTAATTATATTTTTTCTACGACTGCTTCACAAATTGCATTTCTAATTTTATTATTGAATTATCGAATTAATTTTTAATTATTTTAATTGATGGGTGATTCTCGGATAACTGTGATTTTTTATGTCCAGGGTTTTTTAATCGTTTACCATAAGTTTTCCTCATCAAAAAGTTATTAATATTAAAAATTTAGAGGTATTTTACAACCGACAGTATGAATTAGATCATAAACCTTTGTAATTTTTTATTTTAAGCTGCATATAAATATACTCGAAATGTCAGTACCGTCGCATGACCGATTCTCTTTTTTGAAACTAAATTTATAAATGTCTATCAAAATTCATTTTTTAATATATAATTTACCTCTTATAACTACAACCTAATTCATACTGCATTGAATTTTATACCAATCTTTCGATTGGTGAAAAAAAAATAGTAATTTGTATGTCAGTACCGTGGAAATAATGTCAGTACCGTGGCATTAAAATTTTGAAATTTTGTCACAGTTTTCGTTGTGTCGTGGCTGTAGTAGAACCACTTTACAGGCTTATTTCTGTGCATAAATAGAAAACAAAAACGCGTAAAACATACGTTTTAAAACATTTTTAATTTTAGAAAAATTTAATTTGTAAAAATCGCAGGTACACGAGAATCGCCCATATACCAATTATGTTAGAAACAATATTAAATAAATAAAATTGTTTGGCTAACAAAAATGTCGATTGTTCAAAATAAATTACCTGCATTAGCTTTTAGGGGCACAATTTTAAAATGGATTGCTTTTTATTTAGATGCAGGTCAGATATGTGTAAAAGTGTGTGATTGTAAATCAGAAGTCTAACCCGAGTTACTAATAATTTTCGGATATGTGAATGAGCTCCCTTAACATTTATTACCCTTATTTTAATTTTGTTGCCCATCATTGAAAAAAAATTGTCTTCCACTAGCGCCCATGGAAGTTAGCAGAAATACAACAATTTTTTTATTTCTCCGTAATTTTTAGCTAATTTATTGTTAATTTATTTCTAATTTATTGCTAATTTAATTTATTTCTAATTTATTGCTAATTTATTGCTAATTTATTGCTAATTTATTGCTAATTTATTGCTAATTTATTGCTAATTTATTGCTAATTTATTGCTAATTTATTGTCACTTTATTGCTAATTTATTGCTAATTTATTGCTAATTTATTGATAATTTATTGCCAATTTATTTCTAATTTATTGCTAATTCATTTCTAATTTATTGCTAATTTATTGCTAATTTATTGCCAATGTATTGCTAATTTATTGCTAATTTATTGCTAATTTATTGCTAATTTATTGCTAATTTATTGCTAATTTATTGCTAATTTATTGCTAATCAATTGCTAATTTATTGCTAATTTATTGCTAATTTATTGCTAATTTATTGCTAATTTATTGCTAATTTATTGCTAATTTATTGCTAATTTATTGCTAATTTATTGCTAATTTATTGCTAATTTATTGCTAATTTATTGCTAATTTATTGCTAATTTATTGCTAATTTATTGCTAATTTGTTGCTAATTTATTGCTAATTTATTGCTAATTTATTGCTAATTTATTGCTAATTTATTGCTAATTTATTGCTAATTTATTGCTAATTTATTATTCCACACTGCTGTGGTGCCATTGATGGCAAGCATGTTGTAATAAGGTGTCCAACTCGCTCTGGATCTAGTTTTTATAATTATAAAGAATTATTTATCATCGTGCTGATGGCCGTAGTGGATGATCAGTATTGCTTTACATATCTTGATGTTGGTGCTAGTGGTAGAGCATCTGTTGAGATGTGGTCTTAACCGAGCAATTGACGATAAAGTACTAAATCTACCGGAAAATGCACTTTTTAAAGCAGATGATGTCTTCCCTCTCAAAACACATTTGATGAAGCCTTACTCACATCATGGATCTCTTACACTCAGGGAAAGAATCTTTAACTGAAGATTATCTCGGGCACGCCGAATTGTAGAAAATGCGTTCGGAATTTTAGTTTCCCGATTCCGAGTATTCGAAAAACCAATCGCACTGTGCCCAGATAAAGCTGATACAATTGTAAAAGCAGCTTGTTCTTTACATAACTGATCACGACTGTCAAGTAAAACATACATTTCTCGCGGTAATGTAGATGACTTCGAAAATGGTGTCGTTATAGAGGGATCTTGGAGAAAAGAAAGTAGGGGTACATCTTTAGTTGATATAACCACTACTAATGAATCGCGTGATTACTAAAGGAATGCAGCTGCAGTTCGCAACACATTAGCTGACTGGTGCATGGGTGATGGAGCCGTACCATGGCAAATGAAAATGGTTAATGAAAACAATAACGATAACCAAGTTGATAATTGTTATGTAATGTAATGCAAAAATTTTGAAAATTAAATACAAATAATATGTACTTACGAGTATTTCTGTAGATTGCGACTTTCTGCTTTGAACTACGTCGTGTAATATCCCGTCGGCTGTAGGAAACTACCCTACTTTGGGTTTATATAATTCATCAATTCATCTCTTCCTTTTTCAGACGTCTTGCTTCTTTGAATTTTTAAACATTTATGTCCCACTTTTTGCTCATATTGCACTTTTCACAGAAAACAACTTGTTGAAAATACCCTTCATGCGAGCACTCGCGCTACAGTTTACACTTGCAATGTTTATGTTTACTGGTGCGCATATAGAAAGTGGCGCAAAGAAAAGTAAGAAGGCAACTAACTTTTTGCATCTATGCACGCACGGAATCACTGGCGTGCCAGTAAACGTTTACACACGCAAAGGTTTGCAAATTGGCGTGCCATTAGCCACTGGCGCCAGCAAATCCATGCATTTATAAACCCGTCTTTAGTTAATTTGTTCACCTATTTAACAGATATAGGGGCCTATTCTGTAAAAATTTGCTTAATATTAACCCTATGTCATAAAAATAACCAGATGTTTTTTTTTTAATATTGTATTTTGTATCATTTGGTTAAAATTACATATCAAATAAATCCTTTTTTATTTTTAATGCTGCGTTGGGCTCAATTTGAATGCACTTTTAAGTATAATATACCGTTGCCATGTCCACGTGGCTAGTTATAAAATAACTTTTATGTCATAGAAAACAACTCCCATCCTTATAAGATCTCCTATAAAACTATTCTCGATAGCTTTAAGGTTAAATCTCTTTTACAAAGAAGAAAGCAACAGGTTGTGATATATTTTGTACTCTATTTTAAATAATGTTAAGTACAAAGATTGTGATTTGACTGCCAATATTATTTAGTTTAGATCCAAGTAGTACATCTCCTTTTAACAAGATGATGGCTATTACCAATAAGTTTCTTAGCGAGGTCCAAACAGATATAGTTAATGTTAGCCTAAGAAAGTTGAGGACTGTACTAAATTAAGTACTTTAAAAGTTTCGGAAAAGCTTTTGGGAATTACAAAACCCCTTTCTGAATATTTACAATAAAAGTCAATTGATTTATGTTCTGCCCTGAATGCTGTAGAAAATACGTTGGTTCTTATTAAAAATATAAGAAGCAACGCTGAAACTGAGTTTTTAAAGATTTTTAATGAAGCCGAACAGATATCCCTTACTTTTGGAGTAGAACCCGCTATGCCCAGGATAGTAGGCATACAACGACATAGAACAAATGTTGAGGCAAGCACACCAGAAGAATACTATAGAAGTTCTAACTTTGTGCCGTTTATAGACGATTTTATATGTTCTTTAAATGAAAGATTTACCGAACATAAAATAGTAATATCTTCTTTGCAAAAGGTGGTACCAAATTTCGCTAAATTATCACCATATTTCTCCATAAAACCTGCTTTGGAGTTTTACAAAGAAGATTTAAACACCAATTATTTTTCAGCGTTAGAGGGAGAGTGGGGCATGTGGAAAGTGAAGTGGCAATATGAAACGGACGTACCAGAATATGCTCTGGACACTCTTTATTTGTGCGATTCCAGTTTTTCACCAATATTCATGTGTTACTGCGTATTCTGTCCGTTCTTCCAGTAACCATAGCTATAGCGGAAAGGAGATTTTCAACTTTAAAGAGACTGAAAACTTACCCGAGGAACCAATCTGGTTATGAGCGTACAAGTTTAGCTCTAATGAGTATTCATAGAGATATTTAAATCGACAATAATGAAATTAATAGTATATTTTGTCAAACGAAGCAACGAATTGCAGTTTAGTTGTAGAGAAAATATGAGTTTTTATTTTTTTTTTTATTTTCTTAATAAATATGTCTTCATTTGTTTAATTATTATTGATATTTTAAGGCACATGCGAGTGAACAGATCATTAAAAAAATATTCCCCCTCCTCCAAAATAAATTTCTGGCTACGCCACTGACTTGCAGTTACAATAGGTTTATTTAATTTAAAATAGCTTCTTACCAATCATGTTAAAATCAGATTGACTTGTATTTGATGGTTAACATCAAATAATATTATGGATATGTGTTTAAAATGCGTGCTTAATAAGGCTTCAGATTTTATTTCAGTAATTCAATACCCAATACTTTGAACAAATATTCTAAAAAAGGACTTAGATTGGGTTACCACTAATTACTGTCAAAATAAATATCACCTTATGGGCAATATAGTGAAAAGCCCAGATACGATCTACAATCTCAAATTGT